TTTCTTCCATGTGTTACATATGGACTTGTGTTCCTCTAAAATACTAAATCCTAGCCCCTACACCTGTAGATGTAAGCTCATCTGGATGTAGGGTTTTTTGGTTATATTCTCGTGGCCTGTTGTTGTTTGCTCTCAAGTTGGAACCGACCCATAGCTAACCTTTCAGTGAGTTTTCAGGGGCAGTAAATCACACAGAACCCAAGATACATTAATAATAATGGATGACTAATAGAAAGAATATGGAAACAGCCCAAATATCCAACCACAAATGAGTGGGTTGAGAAAGTATGGTACATTTACACAACAGAATACTATGCAGCATGCAGGAGCAATAACTTTGTAAACTGTTACCTAACTTTGAAGGGTCTGGAGAGCATTATGCTGAGTGAACTAACTCAGTCCCACAAGAATAAATATTCTATAAGACTGTTATTATCAAATGAGCATAAGAATTCAGGAGGGGTGGGAGAGGCTGGAAGCAGAAGGATGTGGATGTACAGGGGGAAGAGGGGAATTAATCATTGTGTTATACAATTTGATGGGTGAGGGGGTGAGGGAAATTGAAAGAATTTGTTCAAATTTGTATTATAATTTTGTAAATAAACTAGTGAAAAAAATGATAAAATGAGAATGGGGAAAAAACAAAACCAAACCACTAGCTAGGTATACCACATGACCTAACACCTTGCAAGATATCTATGCCTGGAAACAGAAACTTAAAATAACCCAATCGACCAACCAAACAAAAAACAAAAACAGGGGGAAATTTATAAAAAAAAACAAACCCCCAAACGGGAAATAATAAGTGTTGCTGAGCATGTGAAAAATTTGAGATACTCAAACATTGCTGTTGTGTATCTAAAATAGTAAAGTTTCTGTAGAAAACTTTTTGATGGTGTTTCAATAAATTAATGCAGTGGTTATTCTTATGTATCAACTTGAAGAGTTGTGGTCCTCAGTTGTTGAATAAGACACTAGTCTACTTGCTATTATAATTTCATGTGATTACATCAATTGGCTCTAAGAAAAGCAGATTACCTTTCTACGAAGATGGCGCCGAAAGCGAAGAAGGAAGCCCCTGCCCCTCCCAAAACTGAAGCCAAAGCAAAGGCATTGAAGGCCAAGAAGGCAGTCCTGAAGGGCATCCACAGCCAAAAAAAAAGAGGATCCGCATGTCACCCACATTCCGGCGGCCTAAGATGCTGAGACTCCGACGGCAGCCCAAATACCCCCGGAAGACCGCTCTGAGGAGAAAAAAGCTTGACCACTATGCCATCATCAAATTTCCCCTGATCACTGAGTCAGCCATGAAGAAGATAGAAGATAACACACTTGTGTTCATTGTGGATGTCAAGGCCAATAAGCACCAAATTAAACAAGCTGTAAAGAAGCTTTATGACATTGATGTGGCTAAGGTCAACACTTTGATTAGGCCTGATGGAGA